TTTGGCAATTCAATGGAGGTCTATTATAGATCATCTTTGGATGTATTTTTACTTTGTGAATCCATTGCATATGGTTACGTAGTTGCTCTAAATCCTGAAAAAAAAAAAAAAAAACAAATTTACAATATATAATGTAGTAATGTGTATTTAATTTTATGAAATTTTATATTATTAAAATCATTTAAATATAAGATATTAACTTAAGGAAGGAAATTTCCTCATAAAATTTTTCCTATAGTTGCTTTTTTTTTATCTTTGTTTACATTTCTGAAATTATTGAATTTTCTTTGAAAATTCATCTTCAAAAAATTGAAATCATTAATTAGAAACTTCGTACACTTCTTTTATCCTATATATTTTTTATTTTTAGAAAATTTACACAAATATTCAATTACAACAGTCGCAATTAATGTTAAAGTTGATACAAAATATAATGAGATGACAAATGCACTTTAGTTTATATTTTTGTTCGTTAATTTCTCTGTTGTAATTAATGGTAAAGACAGAAGTGTCTCTATTTACAAATAGGCAATTAAAAGTAATAATGATATATATTAGAATAGAAAAATTCGACTAGAATATTTCCAACTTACTTTAATATAACCATCGCAAATTTCACATATAACAAATGTAGTTTTTCCTCCAGACTTTGATGAAGTACCAGAACCAGGAATGGAGGTTTGAGATGTTGTACGTGGTAATGGAGTTATAGATATACTTGGTTGACTTAACAATTTTGCTGTAGGATTTTTGGAACTTGCTGTTGTATTCTGAAAAATATAAAATACATTAATTACTTTACATCAAGAATATTCATTTCCTGATTCAAGTTTTTAATTCAATTATATTGCACTGCGAAATTGTATCTTATTTAAAATGTCCTTCACATCTTAAACATAATTTAAGTATTAATTATCAATCGATTTTACAAAGATAATAGAAATTGTCAATGAATTCCTTCAAAATTTGTAAACTATGTAACATTATATTAATACAGAATTAAATATTTTTATAATGCAAAGTACTACAGGGGTAATAAAAAAACATTGATGAAAATAATATTATAAAACTAATTGCACTGCACACTAATGATATGTTTAGCCATAACTTTACACATACTGTTAACTCTTAGAAGCAACTGTGTACAGCTTTGATTATGTAAATCTCAAGAAATCGGTTATAAAAGCTGTTTTACACCTGCGGAACACATTATCCATGCGATCACAAAGTTTATAAAATCAATTTAATCTTCCTGATAGGTTCCAACAATTATTTACCTGTGATGAGGACAATCTAGAGAGAGAGTCGATTACGTTGGGTACAAGTGCAATGGGTGTGGGTTGACCGGAACTGCCGCCGCTACTGCTACTCACTCCCGAGACAGCCGACATGACAGTCCCAGAGCCACCCACCACCTGTGTCACCACCCATATATTTTTTTTACTTATTCGTAAATTTCTATATACTTGAATTTGTGAACCTGTAGTTTTCTATTGTTATCAATAGGACAGAACAATCTGAGGAAAATTCACAGAAGAAAATCAACATATCCCATTGCCAATAGAACATAGGCAGAAAATAGAATAAATGTGAATAATTAAAATAACTACAATTTTTTCTTGTATTACATGTACATGTACATTAATTAAATTAATTATTGTTTAAATTTAATATATAAAATATAATGAAAGACATTTGCAAATTTTAATTTTAGACGTTGTGCATTAATGTTGATGATAATTATTACAAAAAATTCAAAGAAAAAAGCATAGATATACTGTGCATATCATATGTGTGCCTACACATTATAACTGAAATACATTACTTCAAGGGCATGACTTTACATGATTATCATTGCCCATGCCATTACTAAATCTTATAATATTAAAATACATTTAATATGCAATATAAGTACTTAATATTCATAAAAATACTTTTTCTATTATAAAAATTATTCTGAAATGTTTTTCGTTATTAATAAAAATACTGAGAAAAAATGAAAACATTTTTACCTGAAATATTTGATTGCTACCAAATTGGTATGAAGTAGGGACCAATAAACCAGAAGATGTTGGGCGATACATCATTCCTGCAACATTGTCTAAAACATTACGATATGTTACAATTAAACTCATAGAACGAATATAATCGAATATAATATATCATTAATTTAAAATAATAAAAAGTTACCCTGTCGCATTGTTGTACCACCTGGTCGTAATGTTTTCAAGTCTGAATATCTTGGTTGCATAGGTGGTCGTCCTCTTCCGCGACCGGTGATTGGAGCAGGAAGTAACTTGGGTAAAAGTGGCTGAGGTCCTTTACCACTCATTGCCATCGCAAGTGCATTGGGATTAGTTGGCCCGACAGGTCTCGTTCGATTTAATCGTGGAATTTTTGCTGGAGGTTCCCAATCAGCGGCTGGTTCTAAATTCTTTTCTGGTCTGAATTTCTTAGTACAAGCAAGTATATGCCGAGTTAATTTGCCTTTTTGGTTGTCTTCGAATGGACAATTAGGACACTGATGAAAAGCTGGACCCCGCTCCAACCTTCCGCGAGTATTATGTTCTGCTTCCATATGGAATAAAATATCGTGAGGACTACGCACTTCAATTGGACAAAAATTACACTTATAGACGTAATTGCGCATATGTGGAGTTTCTAAATGATGTTGCATGACTAAAGTTGATTCTGTTTTAAAATTACAGAATTCACATTTTTTCAATTCTAAATGGAATGGTTCGTTATTTTCTTTACTAAATTCTAGATTCTTAATGAGTGAATTTATAGCTAGTTGAGTTTCAGCCGATGTGCTACCTTTGCCCTGTTTACGTTTTTGAGTCCGTAAAAGATCAGTTTGCACATATTCTTGAACAAGATTCACTCCAATTTGCATGAAAAATTTTCCCAGAGGTAAGTCAAAATATGTCAATATTTTATTCCTATCATCTTGTCGTATATCTGGTTTATCACTTATATTACTAAATCCAGATTCAGTTATATCTAGTGAATTGTCACCTCTATCTTCATCTTTTTTACTCTTACTATAAGTTCCTTCATTTTCACTTTCATCACTTTTATCTTTATTTTTTTGATTCATATCCAGTGAATCTTCGTCACATTCGTCTCCCTTATTTTCTTGTATGCTTCTTTTGCTTCTCTCTTCCTTTTCTTGTTCTTCCAAGCATTTTTCCAATTTTGTAACAAATTCCTTTAATGGTTTCAAAGGTGGCTTTTCATATACGTATGGTACTATAAAAGATGGTGCCTCTACCACAAACATATCATCTGTTAAAGTAGGTAATATAGGAGGTGTTACTGTAGGTGTTACTGTAGTCATACTACTGGTTTTAGGACTTAATTGTGCAGTTTTTGATGTCATGGGCACTGGTGTAATAGTTGTCCTCATATTAGGGTACATAGTTTGCGTTGTCATTCCCATTGGAACTACTGAAAATGAGCTAGTACTAGAAACAGTATGATGAGGTTTGCTGCTACTCACAGGAACACCACCACGCCCAGAAAGTATAGAATTTGTATCTATAATAACTAAAGTAGGTTCTTTCTTTCCTCCCTTTACAGATTTGCTACCAGCAGCAATTTCTACTAACCGTTTAGTATCATTGACTACAATGGTAGTTTTACTATTTTTTATTGGTGATTTTAGTTTAGAATTCTCTTTATCTTTACTATCGACACCAGCTAGAGGGTCTTCTGGCTTAATCTCCTCAATGTCTGAACCATCGTCGTCTACTTCCTCTTCTATTTCTTTTTCTATGTAACTTGTCCTTTTTATATTTCGAGAACTTCTTCTTGGTGTAATACTACTAAGATCTACTTGCTTTCTCGATTTTCTTTGTTTTGAATCTTTATTAGCACGTTCTGGTGAAGTATTATGACTATTCTTTGCACTATCGGTTATTTCTTCAATATCTGGACTATCGCAACTTCCATTTTCTTCACAGATTTTTACATCCGATGTATCCATACTACTATCAGCAATTTCATTACTCTCATTAAGTTGTATATCACTGCTGCCTGATAAATCTTTATCTGCAGAAGTTTTCATAGTGAACACATCGTCATGATCAGAATGTATTTCTGTTATGCTTTCGTCAAGACATTCAACATCTGAATTACTCTGTTCATCAACTTCCATAGTCTCACACGATGTGCTTTTACACTTATCTTCAGTCTTAGACACTTCACTAAAATTGTTCATGTCACTGACACCCTCTGATAATTTAGACATTTTAGAGTCATTTTCTGATTCTGACATTTCACTGCCTTTACTTCTGTTTTGTGCTAACCCATTTCGTTCACTATTTTCAGATTCTAGACCCCTTTCTTCCATTTCAACATCCATTCTATGTTCGTCGTCATCGTCTTCTTTTTCACTTTCCTGTCTCTCCTCCCTTACTACACTAATTTCTTTTGACACAAATTTGGATATATTAGAATCAGCGTCAATGAATTCTTCCTTGTCATTATAATTTCCATTAACTCCATTTAGAATCACATCTGCAAAATATAACTTATTTTTAAACACATACTAACATAGTACGATAAATGAAGTAAACTATTAGTACTTTTAACATTAGTCATATTAATAAATAGTAAATCAATGAAGTACATGTATATACATATATTAAGAATTACAATTATATTACAGTAATCAAAAAGCATAACAGAACAAATGTTAAAAAATAAGAATCATTGCTACATGATTTGAACAAGCTACATTTTTTTATGACATCCAAATTCAATGCAAATACAAAATACAATAAAATAATATCCAGCAAAAAAAGTCAAAAACTTGATATTGGTGTCAATTTTGTACAATGAAAGAAATGAAGTAAACAGAAAAGTGAATATTCGTTGTACAAAGAAAAATTGCTATAATTGTGTTTGAAAAAGAGATAGAGCATACCTTTGAGAAGCTTATCAGGACTAGCCTGAGATGAGTCCTTAATAGGGGGTTCTTCCAGCGTGCCTTCCATGGGGACACCACTGTACAGTTGATCTAAACAATTAATAAGAACACAGAGATAAACGTCTCGTGGCGACGACGACGCGTTTCATTACAACGACGATATGAGAACGCGAGGGCGGAGGGAGGGAGACAGGGAGAGAGAAGAGAGGAGAGAGGAGAGGAGAGAAGAGAGAGAGAGAATTTTTAGCGGGGCCGAATTTTTCAAAATGGCGCTGCGAATTCCGTACTCCTATTTCCTTGTTCCCATAACCAACAAAGTTCGTCGGGTATATATCGCACGCTCCAGTCCGGACGGATTCCCAAAATACGTGATTTGATTTGTCGATGAAAACTTTTGGCACGCGCGCACACTTGGAAAAAGTGATCAGAGGACAGGGAATGGGCCGTGGGCAAAAATTATCGGATGAACCAAAGTCCTGTGAAGTAGCTTGAATGGTTAGCGTCTCTCAGTCAGTCACCTGCACTTGCCAGCCACCGCGTCCGAGCGCCAGCCAGCCAGCCTGCCAGCCAGCCAGCCAGCCAGTCAGTCAGCCCTCCGCCGTACCTCTCCTCGCTCAACCTTCACAACCTACCAAACCTACACCTATACCTACAACTGACACATCGAACTTTCGCCTTTCGTACACATCGGCACACATGCAACCGTAGATATATAAACATACACGCAATAATACGCACACACGAGCCATCCAACTCGCCATCCATAGATGAGCGCGCGAGCGCACAACCTTCCGAACTCTCTATATTACATGCCGGACAACACGCCAACCACCTACAGAACAACCCTATGACCTAGCGAATCCGATCGTGACAGATTCATCTTTCATGGCGATGCTGCACTTGAACGAATTTCTCTTGGAAATTCACATTATCTATGTGATTTCAACACGGCAAGTAACAAATACTCTAATGTGGACTGAAGATACGCGACGATGAAGGAACTAGATAAACGCGGACCATTTTGTCAGATTATCTATATAGATCTGATCCACCCGATCGGAGGCGTTCTTGTCCAAAATTCCTATTGAAATTTTTCGAGTTACCATTTATCTTTATGACGAATTTTATTGAAAATACGGATTTGACGATACGAAGTAAAAAACAGATAAGATGATAGAAATCATTCTACATCTCGTTCGAAAGACATCTTTAGGACTCTTCTGAAAGATGCTGAGCATACTTTAACCTACATTAACGTTCATCTTCGATACAGCATTCGTATCGTTCATTCAAACTAACAATGTAAAGATTATTATGGAAGTTGGAGAACGTGAAAAAGAATTGGACGTACAGGTGATCGAAAACACTGAGGAACTCCATTCAGTATGTTCGTTTCGGGACATGTCTCGTGCTACTTAACTCGCTTATCCACGAATCCCCCGGCAGATCTGTGAGGTAATGGAACGCGTACAAAACTCCTTCGTCTCCTGTCACTAAGCACAAATATACGCACCTGACCGCTTGCTTGTCCTAAACGATTTTCTGATACCGCGACATTTTCACAACGTGTGATCTTCAGCGGCGACGGTGGAGCTACGATTTGTCCCTTATACACACGATACACGATTTATTCACAAAACCTGTAAATAGTGAACATTCATCGCTGAAAATTAGGCACCAGAGGGCAGGCGCGACGTTGGAAACGTTAAAAAGTTATGCCCAGGGCCGTCGCAAAATCGTGGGCTCTTTTTCACGAGGGTTAAGTAAAAATAAATGTAGAATAGTTGAGAACGGAAAAATCGATGATGTAGTATTTCCTTTGGATACCATTTAATTATTATTCAATCGTTCTTTATATAGATGTCTATTAGTCTGAAACAAAAATTTATGTAAAAAAAAAAAAAAAGAAAATGATATATTTTTTAAAATATTGAATAATATTCTCTTTTTCAATAAGAATCAAAAAACAAAGTCGATTAAACGTTTTTGGTCATAATATAAGAAATTTATATCGTATGCAATATAAATTGTTTAAAACGTATTAAATACTAAAAGAGAGCACTGGTTGAACTAAGTATCTTCTGTTTCACTACACTGAAAATTCATTGAAATAAAGTAATATATAATTAAATAATTGAAATTATAGAAATATTAATGTATAATAATGTTTTATTTAGTCGGTTTAGAAGATTAAAATCATGATTCTCTCTATCGCAATTTTAATAATTTACATATAGCATTTCTCCCAGGAATTTACTCCGTATTTTGCTGATCATGCACTTAAGTAAGCAAAATAATGATGCAAAATCACACCACTTTTAAAAGATAAACACATACTGCTTCGATATAATTGAAATAAATTATTAACGATCAATTTTGGATCAATTGTTTCAATATGAAAACAACGGTAATGAAATACATAACAAATCTCGTTAGACAATATTCAGTGTATAAATATCACTAATGTTATCGTATATAATAATGTAATGTACGTAAGTAATTTAGTTAAATCTGTAGTTAATAGCAATCGATATATCGTGAATGAATTCTAGTACCATCAGTAACGTAGTAAGTATAGTCATCACAGAAACGTAAACATTAGCGTACACATTCGAAATTTTGTTAAGAATCTGACGAGACAGTCTGTTTAATAAAGAGATAAGAGGAGTTAAAATTACGGGGAATGCGCAAGGGAATTGAGAGGATCGTCACGGCCCTGGTTATATTGTGTTATTCGGTACCACAACTATACAAATCATAAAATCCAACAAATCAATCGCAAGTCCCTTGGCGTTTCTTTCTTTTTTTTTTTTTCTTTTTTACAAATAATAATATCTTGTTTTCATCTACGATCTTGGAAATACGAAAACACTCGTGTTTATTAATTAATTAAAATTTTAGAAAGGTGCCGCCATTTCTTCATAAGGGCTGGCTTAACTGTCGAACAGCTGCCGTGGTGGTCGCTAGCCGATCACGATTATCCCCCCAAAGAGGACCAATAATCGAAACACACACACATCGCAAATGCCGCGCTATTTAAATTCACTGACCGTTCGGAACACTGATAAATATTCGGCTACACACGCGACTCCTTCGACACTTGATATACACCGTTTTTATATCAAAATTATTCACATATACTTTGTGTTTATTTGGGTTCGACGTCACGGATCCTTCTTACCTTCGTCGTCGAAAACTGCCAAGATGGCGACAATAATCACGTGACCGTAAATTTTATGACGTACGCGTAATGTTAAAGGGACGAAACGACCAGTAGCGTTTGTTATATATAGTCACGTGACCAAGTACACGTGCACATCCAATGAGAACCTCTCCCAAGAATAAGGACAATCTGCAATTGCAACAATGTATAGTAATAGGGTTGACTAACAAGCCCCCGCCCTTTTCTATAGGTTCCTTTAGAACGACACCCCCTCTGTGATTCACATAAGAATATTATGAAAAATATTATTCTATCATCTTTACAAATATTAAACTTGTATATTAAAAATTTATTACTTTATTTGCTCATTTTCTATAGATACTAAATAAAATAATTGTTTATTTAAAAGATTTTCTAATTATTCTTTTTTTTTTGCAATGCTAAAATAATTATTTTGTGAACTCTTTTAAAAAAAACATTTTTTTTATTAAAAATTTATTATACAATTAATTATCTATATCAGTTACTACACCGTTATTATAACAATTATATTTACATTTTAAATATCAATATTTTTAATACCTTAAATGTACAAAATTCTTCGATTAACATATTTATATAATTACAATAATTATTCAAAATGTACAAAATCCTTCCATTGACATATTTATATAATTACACTAATTATTATTACACTAATTATGTGCTATATACTTGTAATGTATATTAAATATTTTTAAACTTATATCTTATTTTGTACAAAGTCATATCTTACTTTATGTATTTTAGCTACAAAAGTAATATAAATAATGTTACAAATAATCTTCATCATTATCATTAAAAGATAATACAATTTTTTCTTGTTTTGCTTTCTTTATCTTCTTCTTCACTGGCTTATTTGCTGTATCTGATTCTGTCTCTGTTCTTTTATTTTTCTTAAATATAATTCTTTTAGATAAATCTGCTGGAGTATTAGCTTCCTCTGTAATACAAAAATTCACATATAATTATTTTCTTATTATAGAGAAGATAAAAGCTGTAAGAACATACCTTCTTCTTTTTTTTTCTTATATGCCTCTGCTTGTTCTGCAGTCAGATGTTCAGAATTTAATACAACTACAACAGGCTTCTCTTCTTCACGTTCTTCTTCATTATTTGAATCTTGTGGTAATATTTCTCTCTGTTTTAAAAAATTGTTTAAATGATAGTTTATGCTAATTATAAACAAACATATATTGTAATATATTTAATGATTTGATGAAACTTAATTTCAATGAATATTATATATTACATTATAATTAATAATCTAGAATTAGAAATTTCGCACAAATATTTACATATACCGAACAATAAAACATACCTTTGTGTCAATCGTAGGTCCTTCCTTATATCCGATTTGTTCCTTTAATTCACGTAAGAATTTTGGCTCAGTCGGCTTAATATATGACACGTTATGCTTTTTCCTTAACATCTTGGTATTTTCCTGTTGATATTTTTAAATTCCGACTTATAGAATATAACCTAACTCTACTATGCTACTGCTGCATATAGAATATAATCTAACTCTACTATGCTACTGCTATACTAAAGCATTAGGTATATATTCTACATAGATTGAAAAGTACGATTTATCTAGTAAAATTTTCTAGTGTGTTAATTCCGATTGGTTGGTACGAAGAAGAAGATATAGGAATTTTATATGCAACTTTATTTATGATTTTGATCAAAACAAAATCAACTAAGCTATTAATATTTACGAAGTTTTTGAGTCTTACGGAATTGTAGAATAATTGCAACATCGAAACAGTAGGCTTTAATAATTTATTCTTTTTATGATAACGATAATATTATTATTAACGTTTGCCACAGTTTAAAATTGTTTTCAACTGATCATATAATCAACTATCGATAAAAATTTAAAAAAGATTTAAAAAGCGCCATGAACATCGATGATATCCCTATATTATATTGTCCGGAAATGTCGTTGGTTAAACGATAAATTTAGTCAACCAAATCCATAACCAATCGAACGTGTTTCCGAAAAAGTTTCCAAAAATGGTGGTCCATTCCGCTACCGTTCGGCGAGAATACAATTACTAATTGTCATGATATAAAGCTGAATACAAAGGTTTAAATGCGGAACAAGTTTGACATACGATACACGTTAAATACGCCGCCTCGTCGTCCAGAACTTGATACAATAATTATTATACGAGTATTTCTCCATTTTTTTTTTTATTACAATACAGTTTTCGATGAAACGGGTGATTTACAGACGCGTCACTTCGGAATTATTTAGTGCCCTTAATTTCCCATCGGAATGGCTGGATCGTCGATGTCGAACCTGAGCGTGCGTATTGATAATATATCCAGCCTCTTCCTGCCGATTGTGCTTTTCTACTTGAATCACCGGCATGCACCGCGGAGCTGGCCCATCCAGACATTCACAGCTTAGACTTGCATCCAGCTCGCCCTGATACGGTGGCGGTATTAACAAACTTTCGGTAGACTTGGTTGGCTGGAAGTGTCTGTTGGAACTACCGGAATACGTAGTGCCGCTGCTCGTTCTCCTCTGTACAGTTCCAGTAGGCGTTTTCGCGCGTCCGTGCGCACTTTTCCCAGGCCTCTCTGCACTGTGCGTTTTTATAGTAGCTGTATCCAAGTAACCGTATCCGAAACCGTAGCCACCGAACGCCTTGGTAGTCAAATTGTCCCAGGACTTTGGTTTAGCATACTGAAGGCACGGCGGTGGTCGTTGATGTACGCTTGGATCCCAGTAGAGGGTATCCGTACTTAGGCTCGTCGAACAAGAGGCCACGCTTTCAGCTGCGGTCGAGATATCGCTACTGGTAACAGAATGCAGACTATGTCCCGATGTACGCGAACAATTATGCGCACCGTGTTGCTGCTGTTGTTGCGATTGTTGCGACTGTACATGATGATGCTGTACTTGTTGCTGTTGTTGTTGTTGTTGTTGTTGTTGCTGCTGCTGCTGCTGCTGTTGTTGCTGTTGCGAATGATGATTTTGCTCGTTTCTTGCCCTCCTTTGTTTCTCTCGGCGTCTACGACTGGGCACGCAATTTGGGTCACAGCATGGACTGGCTAAGTCATAAGCGTCCAAACTACCACTATCCGATTGTTCCCTACGACGACTAGCGCTTGAGATGCAGGCAACGCAAAGGCTATTCTGGGGCGGAGGATGCAGAGGAAGCGAATCACCGCTAGCATTCGACTGTTGTTGCTGTTGCTGTTGACACGATTTGTGCGATTTCGATTTGGCTGGCGTGCTGTTCATCCCGTTTGCCTGGTGATAGCTATGCCGCGACGAAACTGTCGCCCCTGATTCGCTCGACATCTTTGAGAGAAAATGGTGATGATCGCTTCGCGAACGGGGTGGTCCTACTGTTACTAAGCAAGCGGTGTTCCGAGGAACTAAACACGGCCGTCCATCTGGAAACTATAAAAAATGAAAAGTGTTCTATATATATATATTCTCTATGTACTTTAAATATTCTAAATATTTTCTTCGTATTCTTCTTCGATGTCACACAAGAATTACAACCCTGTTGTTTCAATGTTACTTGGAATATTATAATACTTAGTGTTATAAAAATCAAAGATTCTTTATGAAATACAAACATATAAAAAAAAAAGTAAAGAAAACAGAGTTAAATCAATTTAACAAAATGTAACAGGCGCAGGAGATATTTTTATACAGGATACCACGTTATAAAGTAACAGATGTTCCGTGGATGTAGCAGGCCGACAGCATTGAATGGTGGAAGAATTGAAACTTGATGATGGCGATGGTTGATTGGGGTTACTCGTAATCATACTGTTAGGCGTTCTCTTGCGTGCTGGCAGTGAATGGGTTTTCCATCGACCCATGAGAATAGACCGTTCTCTCTCGCAGAGTCTCTCTAATTCACCGAGGCGTGATTGAAGAGCACGTTGTAATTCGATGTAGCGCATATGTAATTCCACCTGGGAAACAATGGGTGAACGTGACGTTTTTTGAGTAAAAAAAAAACTGAAATTCACTTTAGTTAAATCTCAAGCTAAACCTAAACTTACCTTTCTCACGCAGTCTTCAAAGGACACAACCATTCGCATCCTGGTATCACAGTTCTTTATAAAATTGACCAATGTTTTGTGATCTGCTCTGTCCATTTCGTGGCCATTTATCGAAAGTATCACGTCACCTTCTCGCATCCCTGCTTTGAACGCTGGCCCATCGTATTCCACATAGTCGACGTACGTGACCATCTCGATTTCCTGTTCCCTCTTGTAATGTATCCCATAACTCTGTTTGCAATTTCACACGAACTGATTATAATCAATTGATAAGTTCTCGTCGAAACGAGAAACGTTGGACTTTTGCAGGGGAATAGATAATATTTGTAAAGATAGGTCGCAGGGTATATAATAAAGGGTTGTGATCATGGATGAGTGAAGAAGAACGAAAAAGATCTTACATTTTGTGTGACTTGAATAAAGTAGACAAACGGATACGTTACCTGTAACGTAAAACCGTATGTACCATTTTTCTTCTCAACGATGATGGTACGACGACGTCTATCTTCATCCGCCCTTGTTACTCGATCTGATTTTGATCTCTCCAGCACAGCCTACGAAAGGAGTACAACACCGTGGTGAACTTGCGATAACCGCGACAACAAAGGCGCTTCTATTATCATCCTCTAACACTGCACATACTTCAACTAACGAAAACACATGTCCTGATAAACTAAACGAATTTTTACTAAACCTCTAGAGAATCTACATCCTAAACGTAGCGTCGCAACGAAAACAACGTAACCCAACAAACATAATGATGCATTTTTGCAAAGTACTCGCGCGGCGATTGGGAGATGAAAAATAAAAATCAATAGATACATCTACATAGAAAACATAGAAAGAAAGAAAGAAAGAAAGTGAAAGACAACAACAACAACAACAACAA